GAGCAGCTATGGCATTTTGCCGCCTGCAATGATGCCTATTCTACAGCCGAGTAAGTAAGTAAGATAGATATCTTAATTCGGAATTTAAATTAAGTAACAGCTCCCGTAGCTCGCTTTTCATTTTTTAAATGGACCGAATCGAGTTTTAAAATACTCCTTATTATACGCGCTCGTAATATGGTCACTTTAAAGGACAAGCGGGCTAACCCAGATTTCGGGGATTTCCAGAAATCTTGACCTACACCAAAAGTGGGCATTGCCCTATAGGAAAAGTTTGGTTTCAATGGTGTGTTTAATTGTTTGGTATGTAGAGAAAAACTCTCCTTGTCTTTTAAAGAAACTGAACAAGGGGCAAAAACTTTACCTCCGATTTTCTCAAAGTAGCCTTTTTTCGGGATAGTCCCCTTGTGCTTAAAAGCGACCATATGACCTCAAACAGTTGCGAGCGCTGTAAAACTCTCACTAAAAACTCTTTATTATGATCATGACACATTGTTTCCATGAATCCACTCAAGCTCAGTACAAATAGCTGTGGGAGACACGAGAATTTGCGACACATTTTGGTGGTAGTATCGATAATGATGGTATCGAAATAGCCAACCAAATGAAACTAATACGTGAATTAATTTTGATCACACGTGGACCTGTTTGCCTTTCAAATAATTTCTTTGTCCGGGGGACGGGGGGGGGGAGGGGAACAAGTATAAAGATTGTTTCCTGTGAGTTTGTTTTGTTTGTTATGGTTTGGTTTTGTGGGTTTTTTTGTTTTTGTCTTCTCTGTCTTCTTTTGATATGACCTCAGAGAAAAACGAAAAAGAAGCAATCATACAAAAACAGACCGCCTTTATTATTTGGTGAACATAAGAGTTCTATAAAAGCACGCTAAAGTTATTATCCGGTGTTCACCCTATACCCTAAAAGAGAATCGATACCAACAGAAAAAAAATCGGCGCGAATTTCCGCCGCTTCCCAAGAGAGCAGTATGGCAGCGCCTTTGAAACTGTGGGTAAGCGATGAATAAGTCATGCTGGAAAATATCCATTTGCCGTGGGCCCGGGGCTTTCATAAATAATTCTATTATATTATAGTCTCACGAGGAAAGATCTGCAAATGCGTAGAAAAGTTGAGATTTTGTCACGTAGCCGAGCAGTGGTGGGTGGGCGGTTTTGTTTGTATTCGGCTATATACAGATCTATTCTTTCTTGTATGTTTGTGTGTGTGTGTGAGAGAGAGTATGTGTGCGTGTATATGTGTGTGTG